ATAGACGAGAAACAGGTGTACAATTATTTGAAATAGGTACTGGTTGCGTAGAACCATATTTTATAAAAACGAATGAACAGAAAGTAGAAGAGTCCGAAAAGTTAGACCTGGAGGGGAGTATAGGTATCTGATACATGATAAACCACGCACTTCTTTTCTTTTTTTTTTTTTTTTGAGACGCCAGTTTTTCTCGGCGGCTGTTCACCCAGGTTGGAGTGCAGGTGGCCGGATCTGGCTCGACGCAAGCTCCGCCTCCGTAGCGTTACCCAATGTCTCCTGCCTCAGCTCTGAGTGCTGACTTACAGGCGGCCCGCCACGCCACGCCCGCTAGTTTTTTTTTGTATTTTTAGTAGAGGACGGGGTTTGATCAGGCCGATGTTAGCCGGCGATCTGGTCTCGATTTCCTGACGCCTTCGTGGATCACCTGCTCGGCTCCAACGAGTGCGTGGGACTTACAGGTTCTTGAGCCACGCGCCCGGGGGGACCCCGATAAGACGCGAGGCATTTCAAATCAAAATAGTGACTATATCAGCTTGTTATCATAATGGGTGTTGGGCTATTAATATTTGGGTAAAAAATTAAAGATACTGCCTCTTACGCTCATTATACAAAATAGCTTAAGAGTTTAAAGTCAAACATTTAAAGGAAGCAATAAGCATCCCAGAAAAGAAGGTACGGTTGAATAGTCTATAAGGCCCTTTCTATCCTCTGCAAAAGTACCAATTTTTTGAAAGGACAAAGACTGATAAAATGGTAAGATTAAAGATGACGACTATGTAGAGCTATGGTAAAGCACTTTTGCATTCAGTCTCTCCCAGAAGCCCTACGAGAACCGTTACTCAGCAATTCCAGAACAGTGTGTGGCTCTCCCCAAGCTCCTTCACCCGGGTCCACTGTAGAACACGCCACATTTTGTTTGTCCCTTGAGTTATGGACATCCCATCTCAAACACATTCTTAATGAATACCATGTGCTTCCTGAGTTTGCCCTGCTTCTGAGCCCACTGTGCCTTTCTGAGCAAGTAGATAAGGGTTACAAGGTAACCTAGCCAGTGAAAGTCAACAGCAGCTCATTTCGCTTGGCCTTGGTGGGCACCAAACCTGCCCCCTTAGCAGGTCTTAGTGGAGGCAGGTCCCCACTGAGCAAAGCCCATGGAGACTGGAGGGACACTTGCCCACTGGCAGACACTGAGCACAGGCAGGCTCCCCCATTCTCACCGAGCACGGGTGGGCTTCCCCATTCTCACCGATGGTCCTGTCTCCCTCGGGGTCCACCTCCTGGGCCATGCTCAGCGCCTCTGTGGTGGCGATGTCCACATTACTGGGGACCACCACCAGGTTGATCGTCTCCTGCCTCTGGATGTACTTCCTGATGAGTGTCTTGATCTGTAAGGAAATGAGGAGGTGACTCATGAGTATGGCAAAGGCAAGTGAGAGGTGAGACAGGTCCTGACCTTGTACTTGCTTCAGTCCCTGAGAGTCCCAGGGGTATTTCCCCCAAAAGAAGTAACTTTGGAGAAATGAACCCACAAACGCAACCCTGGAGGTACCTACCAAGCTGGAATTATGAGAAAATAAATTATCTGCGGCAGAAACAGAGCCGTAGGCTCAGGGAAAACCACGAGGTTTCAGGTAATTAACCCCCAAGACCTTAGATCTGATGGTCACAATGAAAAATGGTGGCCAAAAAACCCCACTTCACCCCTAAATCTTTGATCTGTAAAGTAAGATTCATTGATACTAAAATATCATTATACCTGTTTCTTTCTTGCTTGTTTTGTTTTTGTTTTGAGACAAGTTCTTGCTCTGTTGCCCAGGCTGGAGTGCAGTGGCACAATCATGGCTCATTGCAGCCTCCCTGGTTCCAGCAATCCTCCCAGTAGTTGACAGGTGCACACCACTATACCTGGCTAATTTTTTAACCTTTCTTTTATAGAGAAGGGGGTCTTCACTATGTTGTTCGGGTTTCTGTCAAACTCTTGGGCTCAAGGAATCCTCCTGCCTCAGCCTCCCAAAGTGCTGGGATTATAGGAGTGAGCCACTGTGTGTGGCCCATTATACTTCTTTTTAATGCTCTCTTCCCACATAAGACCCCTTCCTAATACATAGCACTTTAGATATGGCATTTCATAAAACATAAAACAAATACATAGATGTTTCCAACTGGGCCCATTGGCCTCACTTTCTCCAAAGAAGCTTCCATTCAACTTGACAGAAGAGACTGACCAATGGGCTCTCTAAATTCCCCACTCACACCTCTAAATACTAACTCAGCTCTGGACTCAAGGTTACTCTAATACAGTACCCCCTTTCTCCTCCCACCCCTCCCATACCGCCCCCCATCCCCACACCAATGCCAAGGTCAGAGTGGGTCTGAAGTCTGACCTTATACCCAATGTCAGGAGGTTGATTGCCCACAGCCACTCTGGTTATCCCAGGAAGGTCTATTAGAGTCAGATCTGGGACATCTCGGGAGCTGATCTCCAGGGTAATTAGCTCATGACTGATTCCCATTCCTTCCCCGGCGATGGTATTCTGGGCTAGAGAAGAAGCAGGGAAAATCAAACCCAGAGCTTAGGATGAAAGGATCTCATGACAGTGAATACTCTGAAAGCATCTTCTCCTCTCTGTGAGTCATGGATAAAAGCATATTTGGAGCAGGTTCAATTTTCTGTGATTGGGACGAAAGAGATCTCAAAGGATAACTCAGTATTTTCCCTGCTGTTGGCCAGCACTGTGTGTAGAGAGACCTTGTGAGAACATCACCATGAGTGACACCCACTTAGACCAGTCCAAAGCCGGGCTGAGGCAAGAAGTTCTTCCTGGTAGCATTCCTAAATCCTTCTCATTGGTGTCAGTAGCAAATCAGCAACCAAGCAAAATAAAAACAAAAATGTATGGAAATTCCTAAAATATAAACTGGAAAATCATATGGGAAAATGTGCTTATTTTAGCTAAGATAAGCACTGGTTGTTAACATCCCAATAAGATTTTATTTTGCTCCTTCCTCCTTAATGAATTTCAGGATAGGAATTTGTTTCATCAGATTGTTGGCTAACACCACTTTACTCTTTTCTACATCTAGAATGTCTTTTTGGGATGTTTGATATCAATTTAGAACTTAGGAAATAACAGTGGTTATGGTCCACTAATTGTTCCCCCAATATCCATGTACCTGCCATGTGGTCATGAGACCGGGTTCTGGCCAGTGGGCCATGTGAAAATGTTATGTGCAACTTCAGAGAGTGTGCTCATGAAGGCGGAGATATGCCCCTTGCCATGGTCCAGCTGGCTTCAAAGTGGACTTGCTGACTAAGTCACAGCCGTGGGGGTGGGCCTTGGAAACAGAGGCCACGCCCAATGAAGAAACGGGATCAGAATAAGTCTTGGTTCCTGACACTGGAATCCCCAGTCAGCTCTGGTCTGTCCCCCTTCAGACTTATATGAGAGGGACAGAAAGCTTCTACATTGTTTAGACCACTGTGTTAGCAACTTGCTGGCACAATGGCATCCACATTCCCTTCCATGCCTGTATGCACGCTACTTTACAGGGTGCCTTTGTCACTTCCATGGAGAGAGAGAATCTATCCCTTGAAATTGGGCTTGGCCACTTGACTTTCTCTGGCTAAGGGGATGTTACACAGTGCGACGCCAAGAGAGACTGAAAGGTGTTAGATGCTGGGTCTTGCCCTCTTTTGCTGCTAGGAACCCCTCCACCCAAATTAAGAAGTCCAGCTTAGCCTTCTGGAGGGGAGAGACCACACAGACAGAAGGCCTGGTCACTCCAGTCAAGGGCCATCCTGGACCACCAGCCCCAGCCCAGGTAGCCCAGAGAAGAACTGCCTGGCTGGTCCATCAAGTCATGAGAAATCAAAGTGGTTAAGCCATTAGTTTTAAGATGGGTTTGTTTTACAGCAAGGGCTGACTAACGCACACAGTTATTTTGAGTGTTCTGCTGCAGGCAGCCAACCTGATCCCAACTAATTCAAAATCATGGTTTGTCAATAACATTATTTATCTTTCTATAAACAGTCAACAAATGTGATTAATGCTCCATCTTTACAAATGCTAAACTTGTCCCTTCCTACTGCTGGGCATCAGTTCATGTCACTTCAGTACCTTCCCAGTGTGAATGAAACTTAATCATGTGACATGCTAGAAAAACAGAAAGGTCAAGAGGAAGATGTTATCCGTGCATCTCACAGTGGCTGCTCTTTGTCAGCTACTCTGCCCTATCTACACTGCTGGTGTCGTTTCCCCTCGCAGACAACTTCAAATTGATCCTTGTGGTTTGCATTTATGGAGGCCTGCCATGAGTTAGCCTAAGTTAGGATTATGCAAACCCAGGCACTCCCCCCCTTTCTTAGGAAAAGGGTGCTGGTTCTGAGAGGGGTTCAGTGATGATCCAGTCCACAATGTGGAGCTCTTTGTATAAAGGAAGAGGGGGAGGAGCTCCCTCACCCTCACATCTGGCTCCTCTTCTGCCAGATCTAAGTAGGGAAGCCTTTGATTAAGGGACAGATCGTCCATATTTGGGGACAAGTTTTACATTTCAAAATTCACATTATTCTAGATACTCACATAATAAGCAATAGATGTGTTTTTGAGACAGGGTCTCACTCTGTTGCCAGGCTAGAGTACTGTGGCAAGGTCACAGCTCACTGCAGCCTTGACTTCCCAGGCTCAAGCAACTCTCCCAGCTCAGCTTCCTGAGAATAGCTGGGACCATGGGTGCATGCCACCATGCCCAGCTATTTTAATTTTTTTTTTAAGACATGGGGTCTCACTATGTTGCCCTGGCTGGTCTCGAACTCCTGGGCTCAAGCAATACTCCTGCATCAGCCTCCCAAAGAGCTGGGATTACAAGCACAAGCCACTGTGCCCGGCCAGAAATAAATTATTGCTATCAGATGCTGATATCCAAGCATGCTGGTCATAATGAGGTAAAAGAAATAGAAGGAACTGGGGCCTGATGTGCAGGAGAAAGGGGTCCTAAGGAAACAGCACAGGCCCAGGAAGGTGGGAGTAGGAACAGTTACAAACTGACCCCAGGCATGTCAGAAGGCTTGACCAGGCATCCAAACAGGGGGTACTCACCTTTATTAATTTCCTCTTCTACCTCTGAAGCATCCAAAATCTCAGTCTCGTAGTCCTGGTAACTGACCTTGCCTCTCCACTCATCTTCGTTCACAAGTTTCTTCAGTTTCAGCACCAGCGGGCATCTAGTCACGATCCCTAGAAGGCCACGCCCACATCAGTGCTCCACTTTGCTCTTAAAAGACCTACATAGTGCCTTAGGCCCATGGTTCTCAAACTTTTATACACTCATCTGGGGAGACATTTAAAACTGGAAACTTTCTGGTCTTACCCTCCTATATGTGGGGACATCGCACTGTGTCTGGGTGACCTCAAGAACATGCATTCTGAATACGTAACCCAGGTGAGTTTTTGCTCACTAACGCTTGAAAGCCACCACTCTTGGCTTCCTGCCTCATCCCAGTGTTCTGCCATCAGCTCAGGTGGCAGACCACACGGGGAAACCCCCAAACTCATCCGAACATCTTCCATTATCCTCCCAACATACACACTCTACCCCCATTAGGAAAGTATCCTGCTGCCACCAGGCCACCTTACCACTGTCCTCCTACTGTAAACTCCTTCCATATTCTACTTACCATGCCTGACCTATATTGCAAGACCCATCCCAGGCCTGAACTCTTTGAGCCCTCACTGATCTAGTTCTGAACTGGGGGACTCAAATGCATTTATTCAGATCTCCTCAAACTGTAGATTACATATTACTTACGTGAAAAAAAATGTGCAATGGGATAGTGTTATGAAATGGTGTTCCCTCCAAATTCCTATGTTGAAGCCCTAACCCCTAATGGGACTGTATTTGAAAATAAGGCCTTTAAAGCGGTAATTAAGGTTAAATGAGGTCATTAGGGTGGGCCCCAATCCAATATGACTGATGCCCTTACGAAGAGGAAGAGACAGCAGAGATGCTTGTGTGCAGAAGGCAGGCCATGTGGGGGAGCGGTGAGGAGGTGGCCATCTGCAAGCCACGGAGAGAGGCCTCAGGAGAAACTAAACCATGATGTTGGACTTCCAGTCTCCAGAACTGTGAGAAAATAAGCTTTCGTTGTGTAAGCCACCCCATCTGTGGTATTTTGTTACAGCAACCTGAGCAGACTAATATACAATGTAAGTTCTTACCACTGCCTCTGGGAAGGGCAACTCCTGACAATGCCTCCAACACAGAGCTCTTGCCCGAGCTCTGGTCCCCGATGACGGCGATGGCCGGCAGGGCCAGGTCCTGCTCCACACCCAGAGCCCGCAGGGAGTCGATGAGGTCGATGCAGGGGCGCACCTTCTCCTCGTACTGGCTGCACAGGTTGTTCTCAGCCACCTGGAGGAAGCGAAAATGGAGAATTCTTCATGGCCTGCAGATCATGTTCATGGTATGGTTTGGCTCTGTGTCCCCACCCAAATCTCATCTCCAATTGTAATCCCCATAATCCCTACATATGAAGGGAGAGACCAGGGCGAGGTAATTGGATTGTGGGGGAGGTTTTCCCCAGGCTGTTCTCATGATAGTGACTTTTCATGAGATCTAATGGTTTTATAAGTGGCAAGTTCCTCCTTCAGTCATTCTCTCTCCTGCCGCCTTGTGAAGAGACGCCTTCCTCCATGATTGTAAGTTTCCTGAGGCCTCCCCAGCCATATGGATTGTGAGTCAATTAAACCTCTTTTCTTTATAAATTACCCAGTTTCAGGCAGTTCTTTATAGCAGTGTGAAAACAAACCAATACCCTCCATTAAAGACGGCCAACTTCAATAAGTCTAATACACAGGTTACTGGAATCCCCAAAAGATAATGGAAGACACACACACAAAAAAAAATTCAAAGAAATAATACACACAATTCCCTCAAACTTAACGAAAACCATAAACCCAAAGATCTCAGAAACTCAACAAACATCAAGCACAGCAAACATCATCATCAAGCCATTAAGAGGGTCCAATTGCTCAAAACCAGTAATAAAGAGAAAATGACAGGAGCAGCCAGAGAACGATATAGTGTGAGCAGAGGAACACAAATGAGAAATCTGCTGTAAATCTTATCAGAAACAATAATAAGTGAGAAGATAGTTAAGCAGTATTTTTAAAGTACTGAAAAACACCATCAATCTAGAACTCTATACCCAGCAAAAATATCTTTTAAAAATGAAGGCAAAACAAAGACCTTTTTAGCCATCCAAAAGCTTAACTAATTTATTACCAGTAGACCTGCACTACAGGAAATGTTAAAGAAGTTCTTCAGGTAGGAGGAAAATAACACTGAATGGAAATCTGGATCTACACAAAGGAGTCTATACTAGAAGAGGTAACTACTAGACTTTTTCCTATTACTTTGCTATCTTTATTGAATGTTTGAACATAAATAACAATATTGTGGGATTTATGATGTATGTAAAAGTAAGATGCATGATAGAAATAGTATGAAGGCTGGGAGCAGAGAGATGGAAGTACACTATTCCAAGGTTCTCACACTACACATGAAGGGACAGACTATCACTTGAAGGTTGACTTATTAAAGATATATGCTATAAACACCAAGAGTTATACTTAATAAGACAACAAAGGAGACATGATGGAATCATAAAAAATAATTAATCCAGAAGGCAGAAAAAGAGGAAAGGGGGAATGAAGAACAGGTGGGATAAATAGAAAACAAATAGCAAGATGATATTCTCAAACCTAATTATATTATCAGTCACATTAAATATAAATGATCTAAATATTCTTAGTCAAAATGACTTTGAAAAAGAAGAACAAAGTCAGAGGACTAGCATTACCTAATTTCCATAATTACTATAAAGTTAAAGTAATCAAAACAGTGAAGTACTTGCATAAAAACAGAGAAAGCAGCAGACTTCACATTCATCCTGCCCACCTACCAGCAGCTGGGCACAATTTTCCAAACGTGGGCTGATTGGGGTTCAGGAAGAAAATATGAGAAAATCATCTCATCTTTTACCTCTTTCTTTTTAATGACTATTTTTGTGCATGCTTCAACATGGACATAAGTTTTCACTAGAATAGCTTCTTTATATCAGCACAAGAAGCTCTTTATATTTGGGGCCAGATGATTCTTTGTTGCAGGGGCTGCCCTACACATTGTAGGAGGTTTAGCCAAATATCTGGCCTCTATTCACTATTCACCCTGAGTTGTGACAACTGAGATGTCTCTAGACCTGGCCACAAGTTCCAGGGAGCAAAATGGCCCCTGACTAAGAACCACAGCCTTACCAAATGCATGAATACCATCAATAGCCTTGGTCTTAGTTCACACCTTGTAACTTTTTGTTTTGTTTTCATTTATTTATACTACCTATTTACAAAAGTGTGTCAAACATAATAAAGCAAATACGCATGTACTAACCACTTGGGTTAAGAACACAAACACTCCCAGTACTTAGGACATTGCACACATCTCCCTAGTCACCTCCTTCCTGTTACTCCCTCACCTCCAGAGGGTCCCTCTATCCTGAGGCTTGCAATCATCACATCCTTGCTTTTCTTTATAGTTTTGCCACCTATACGTTTTTCCTACAATGGTATATTGCTTATTGCTGCCTGTTTGGGAATTTTACATAAGTGGAATCATTTTGTATATTTCCTGTGTTACTCAGTTCTTTGGTTCAACATTGTTCATTTGACGCAGCCATTTTGATGCCTGAAAATCTAGTTCATTCCTTTTTACTACTGCATAGAATTCTGCTACATGAACGTACCACTCCCAGGATCCATTCCACCATGACAGGCACGTGGACAGAGTCCGGGTTTTGCTGTTATAAACAGTGCTGCTATGCAGGTGGCTCCCAGGGGGATGTGCAAGAGTTTACACACGGTTCTCAAACTCCAGCATGCAGCAGAATCACCTGGAGAGCCTGGTAAAGCACAGGGGGTGGGCGCTGCCCCAGAGTGTCCAATTCACCAGGTCTGAGAGTGGGAGGAGGGGCTGGTCATTTGCATTTCAATCAACTTCCCAGGTGATGCTGATGGACTGGTCTGCGGGCCACACTTTGAGAACCACCGTCTATCCCCAGAAGTGGAACTGTCAGATCACAAGACACACTGTGATCTCCTTGACTGGAAAAGGCCAAGCTGCTTCTAAAGCAGGCAAGTATGAGTGAGGGAGAGTTCCTCCTGCCCCACACTCTGACATAATTACATCTCTTACAGCCAGACAAGAGATGCACGAGGCAGGGAAATGCAGAAAAATGTAAAGAGTGGTATCAGGGCGGTGGAAAGGTGGTGGTCCTCTGTGTTTTTCCTAAATGATTCAATGTTTTTAAAATATTGTTTGAAAAATTGTTTAACATTGCCTAGGAAAACAGAGCCAGCCTGAAACAGACCAATGATCCATGGTAATAGGAAACTGAGCACTCTGAGTGCCTGGACACTCCCTGCACTTACTCCTCTCAACAGCCATATAAAGCAAAGACTATTATTCTCATTTTAGATATGGAAAACCAGGCTTATAACAGGAGGAATAACCGCCCACGATCACACAGCTGGGAGTGTCAGCGTCGGGACCAACTCAGGTTGGACTGATTCCAGGGGCCATGATTGCTTCCCACCAAAAATATGTCTTGATTCTGGGCAAAAAATGCACCACGTGGCTTCCCTACAGAGATAATATCCTAATGATGCCCCACGGTTTGTAGCTTGAGACTGAATCATGATGTGGGCAGGAGAAACAAATCTAGTGCTCCTTGAACCCAGGGCCTGGGCCAATTCCTACATGAACCCATTAACAGCTCAGCCGGTGGCCCCAACCCCAGCAGCACCTCCACCCACAGTCGGCTAAGGCCATGAGTCTACACTTGGTTGTAAGCTGGCAAGTAGAGGGTCAGGATCTGCGTCCTGGCACAGGAGAGGTGAGAGAGCAGGCATCTCTGGGGCAGCAGCAGCACCTCTGCAGAAAAGGGCAGCCTCGAGGGGACATGGCTCACGTCACATGGATAGCGACTTTCAGAGAGCAACTTACCGAGCCCGGACTCTTCTGGGCCACGTCAGCATCTCCATTCAGTAAGAGAGGTTGGGATGCAGCAGCTGGATCAGCTTTTACAATGTCCACTTCAGAAAGAACCATCTTCCTTCTTTCTAAGTTAAGCTTAAAATAAAGCAGATGCCTATTCAACAGATAAGCAGCTGAGTGTATTCAACCATGGAACCAAACCCACCACCAGAAGGGAAGGCCCCTGGGGGCGGGGACTCTGACTAGTTGTTCTTGGTGATGTCCCCAGAGCCTAGAAGAGTGCCTGGGACATGGTGTGTGTTCACTGGCTCTTTATTCACAGAAAAACAGAGGGACCCAAAGAAGCCAAGGTCAGATGAAGACACATGCGGCCTCCCCGCTCAAGATGCTTCAAGAATATCCCTCTAGGCCTGGCGCCGTGGCTCATGCCTGTATTCTCAGCACTTTGGGAGGCTGAGGTGGGTGGATCATGAGGTCAGGAGTTCAAGACCAGCCTGACCAAGATGGTGAAACTCGTCTCTACTAAAAATACAGAAAAATTAGCTGGGCATGGTGGCGGGCACCTGTAATCCCAACTACTCAGGAGGCTGAGGCAAAGAATTGCTTGAATCTGGCCGGCAGAGGTTGCAGTGAGCTGAGATCATACTCCTGCACTCCAGCCTGGGTGACAGAGCAAGATGCTGTCTTAAAATAAAAAAATAAAAATAAAAATAAAGAATATGCCTCTGTTCCCCAAAAGATTTTCTGTGTATCTCCTGTCATAATTTGAGGCCGAATTTCAAAAATGTTTTCAGTATAAATTTGAATAGGATAACAAAGGACACAATTTCTGATGCAACTGTAATACAATTTAAAATTTTACATTTAAAGGCCAGGAGAGGTGGCTCACGCCTGTAATACCAGCACTCTGGGAGGCCAAGGCGAGTGGATCACCTGAGGTCAGGAGTTTGAAGCTAGCTTGACCAACATAGTGAAACCCTGTCTCTACTAAAAATATAAAAATTAGCTGAAGTAGTGGCACATGCCTGTAGTCCCAGCTACTTGGGAGGCTGAGGCAGGAGAATCACTTGAACCTGGGAGGTGGAGGTTGCAGTGAGCCGAGATCACACCACTGCATTCCAGCCTGGGTGACAGAGCAAGACTCTGTCTTAAAAACAACAAACAAAAACAAAAACTTTACATTTAAAAATAAAATTGTTATAGAACTGTTTCCAGTGTAGCCAAGGGAATCCAAATGCTATGGTAATTTGACACCCAAACCTTTAGTTTAAAAAAAATGTGAGCTCTAAGTCTTTTATGCTCTTTCTTTTGATCATCAATTTCACATTTTCATTCTTTTTCTCCCACAAGTGGGGGAAATGAAATGCCATTCATTTTACTCTTGAAAGCATGTAACTGACTGCCTTATATTGTCTGCGCTACAAATACACATGTATTTGAAATTCATTTTTAAAATGTTGTAGGACAAGTGTCTAAATACAAAATTTTACAGTGTCTAATAATCTTGGATAAAAGTAACTGAAAATCTTTCTCCTATGACTCAAAATAAATGTTATAGAAAATAGCATGCACCAACTTACCTCCAATATACGTTCCTTTAAATAAAAGTAACGTCAACAAGTTAGATGGTATCACTGAGCTGTTCTCCTGCACCTCCTTGAAATCAAGCAAAGTATACAAGTAAGACCCAAACCCGCGGAACACCCAAGAGTACCCACCCACCCAGTCCCATTCCCATTCCCAAGGCTGAGAACCGTGCAAGTGCAGGAGGTCTGAAGCCGATTCTGATTTCCCAGAATCCTTTTCCTATGTTTCCACTATTTTAACTATTTTAACAGATGAATAAAGCAGAGTTTTGCTGCAAATCTGCTGCCTGGATCAATAATATGTAAGGATGCTCTCCTTGCTTCTCCTCACGGGAACCTTCCCCGAGAGCCACGTGATCTTTGTCAATATCATGGGGGTTGAAGGGACAGGTTAAAACAAACTCGTCGCCCTGCTCTGTAACATATCTAGCTGCACACCTGAGCCAACGCCATTTCTCCTGTCACACTGGAGTTCACAGAAACGTCCATGTCAGGATGGTCGGGAAGCACTGCCACGGGTTCATGTTGCCTTGGCTAAAGAACACGTCCCTGATGCCAATACTTAAAACTATCCTTTTCTGTCTCCCTTCCCCGGGTTTAAACGCTTCCAGGACAGGCATCCTTGTTTGATTTGGATGGGAAGGAAGGGATGTATTCCTTTTTTTTTGAGACAGAGTCTTGCTTTGTTACCAGGCTGGAGTGCAGTGGCGCGATCTTGGCTCACTGCAATCTCCACCTCCCGGGTTCAAGCGATTTTCCTGCCTCAGCCTCCCGAGTAGCTGGGACTACAGGTGCCCGCCACCGCGCCTGGCTAATTTTTTGTATTTTTTTTAGTAGAGATGGGATTTCACAGTGTTAGCCAGGATGGTCTCAATCTCCTGACCTCGTGATCCGCCCACCTCTTTTGTCAGGTAGGAGTGGAATGGTTACAAAAGGCAATCCATTGTAAACGGTATTTATGGAGTCTGACAATCTGGAAATTTATTCCCTAAAACTCCCATGCCTTTGGAAAGACCTCATGTGCCCAGGGCATCCCTGGCTCGATACCAAAGACCACCCCTTCATCTGCCTCTCAGGAGTGCCAGTCTTCTGGGCTATGGTTGCCTCAGTTGGACTTTCTGCAGCCAGATACGGAGCATCGTTGAGACCAGGACTTGCACCTCATGACCGAGGGTTCCACTCAATCAGCTGAAACAGGACTTGGTGAGTAGATTCCCTTCCCTAATTTGTTTCATAAATTGAGATTTTCTGAAAGCTAAACCTTATGGGTTTTGTCTGTAAACCATAAACGTGTGCACCTTTCCCCGATCATTCGGAACATCAGTTTGGATTTCAGGGACAGGGCAGTCTCGGGAGTTCAAACTGATTTCTTACTGCCCCATGGAGCTCGGCATCCAGCTGCAGTCTTCAAACTAAACCAGCTCTGGCCTTGGAAGAGCCAAGAGGTGGTGACTCCTAGCTCTCCATCCCAAAATGCTCCTAAAATGTCTCGGCTGCACCCTGTGTTTGCAGAGGAGGCTGCAGGGAGCCTGGACATGCCTCCCACCTCTCTCTTTTCCAGTCCTCCATCCACTCGTCACTGCACAGCCCCACTGGTCAGAGCCTGAGGTGTTAGGTGGGCATGGATGGGGTTATGCACCAGGCTCTTCTCACATCCTGAGCAACTGCCCCTGTGCAGGGGCTTCCTTCCATCCCTGCCCAGGTCAAGTTTGTGCCCATGACATATAATAATGACTTGTGACTAATGTCTCAAAATGGAGGCACTCGTATTAGGTGGCATTAAGCCCACAGTAGGTTTTTTCTTTAGAAACAATAAACATACATGTTTCTCATTTTCGCTCTTAGTAAAGGGGTTTTTCTTCAAAGTGGTAATCATGTGTGTGGTAGACTAAGGGGATGAGGGAACACTTGCTGTGGCCCAACACCACCAGAGACCCCAGTGGATAAGGACCTGGTGGCACACACACCCACGGAGGATCGCAAAAGCAGCAAGGGACTGGCAACGTCTGAAGCATTTTCAGAATCTTGGCAGTGAGATTTCTGAAAGCTTCTTCCTGACTTTGGCAGCTGGGCAGCCCAAGACGAGGCCCCTGGAGGAACAGATTTCCCTCCACCACCCAGCACTAGAGAGGGACTTCCCGATTCCCTGGAGTGGCTGTCAGTGGGCTGGCCTCCGGAGCCTCCACTGTGGGTCCTTACCCTAATCACTGCCTTTAATCATTGTACTGTGAATGTCTGCTCAATGGTGTGTGTGAATTGCTCACAATAAATCTTGAATTTGAGAATCGCTCATTGCCTACTGGGTCATCCTGAAACCTTTTGGGAAAGTGACAGCACACAGCTGGAGGAAATCTGGTTAACAATTAAAATGAACCTGACTGGGTGCAGTGGCTCATGCCTGTAATCCCAGTACTTTGAGAAGCCAAGGCGGGTGGATCACTTGAGGCCAGGAGTTTGAAACCAGCCTGGCCAACACAGTGAAACATTGTCTCTACTAAAAACATACAAATCAGCCAGGTGTTGTGAAGTGTGCCTGTAAACCCAGCTACTCAGGAGACCGAGGCACCAGAATTGCTTGAACCTGGGAGGCGGAGGTTGCAGTGAGCTGAGATGGCACCACTGCATTCCAGCCTGGACAACAGAGTAGGACCCTGTCTCAAATTACAAAAAAAAAAAAACCCAACGGCCCACTTCATTTCTGCTGTCCCTTGGAATGGTGGTGGCTAGATGGCGGCCTTCTCCACTCCAGATTTCAGGGCGCAGGAGTTTTCCTGTAGCCTCCAGACCCAGAAACGATCTCCCAGCAGTGTGGCCACAGAATTCCTGCAGTGAGGGTGGAGGTGGCATCCAGGGTTGCCAGGGGGTTTCTCTACTTGTGGGGAAGCTTCCTCAGCTCAGACCCCATAGAGGAGCAGGGATGGGAGGTAGGATTCAGCCCCCTTCCTCTCCCAAAACCCCTAATAAGCATCACCTACTACCTATGCTCTAGGAAATACCTAAGATGCAAGTCTACTACTTTCCTAACATAATCCAGTCTAGTTTTTTCTTTCATACACTTTTAAGTTCTGTGGTACATGTGAAGAACGTGCAAGTTTGCTACATAGGTATACATGTGCCAATCCAGTCTAGTTTTTTCTTTCATACACTTTTAAGTTCTGGGGTACATGTGCAGAACGTGCAAGTTTGCTACATAGGTATACATGTGCCAATCCAGTCTAGTTTTAAAACTAACTCTTGCAGGACTGACATTCACCTTTTCTTAAAGCGTTTTTCCCCCAAACCCCATTAGCATTTAAATTTGTTATGAATAAAAGAGAGAACATCTTGCACTTTAGACCAAATGCACTGCTACCTACCAAAGCCCCTGAGCTGGGTGAGCAGGTGGGCGGCAGGGGCGCCAGGGAGGCAGTGGGAGGCGTGTCCACCGCGACGCTGGGATTCCTGGGCGGCAACTGCGGTCCAAGGCTGAAAGATGACGGAGCCATTTTAGGAGCCCTTTGGGACTGACACCGGGGGTGGAGGTAGACGCGTGGTTAGCATCACTCCACTCTACTTCCCAATAACAAACGTGATTTAAAATTTGACCAAATAACTTGGGCCATCCCAATTGCCCAGCTCGGCAGTCACCCGCTGTTAGTGTTGATAGGGTGGGGGCGCAGGTCTCAGCTGTGCCCGGGCTCCTTCTGCCACCCCCGGGACTGTCCTGCCTCCCTTCGTCCACCGAACCCACTCCACGATCCCGGCCAACTACGCTGGACCCCGAGGGTGCGTCCGTCCCACGCGCCGGGGAGGCCCCAGGCATCGCATCCACTGGGGCGGTTGCGGCGGGGGAGCACCGGGCAGCGGTCTTCCAGCGCATGCCCCATCTCGGCCAAGCTCGGAACCCCCTTTATTCAACAGGATAGGCGAGGACTCCTTGAACCTTCCCTTCCCAGCGACCTCTGCACTCTGACTTGGGTTTGCTTTGGCGCGTTCGCAGGAAATAGAGGTCGATGGAAAGCGGTGGTCCGCGTTCAGGTGGGCTCGTGGCCCACGCAGCCGTGGATCTGAAATTTTCCCGGCGCCCTTTCCCGCTTACTAGAGTCCCTCGGAAACCTCCCCCGAGCCCCGTCCCCCACCCCTTCCCAACCTCTCCTGCAAGAAGGCCGCGGGTTAGTGGGGGTGTGTCTGATGATTCATCAGGAGCCGGGGCAGCCTGGTGGGAATCAGAATCAGGCGTGCTCCGAGCCCGCCCATCAGCGCCCTTGCTATTATTATGTTAGTTACTAGCAGCCGAGAAGATGCCCCCGCCGTGCCCGTGCTCCGGAGTGCTGGTCTCCGCCACGAAAGCCGCTCTCCCAATGCCCATTTCCGTGCTCCTAGCGCGGTTACTGGGCGCTACCCACAGAAGCGTCACTCACCGGTCCCTGCGCAGTGCAAGAGTGCGGCCTCCCTCGCTCGCTCCGCGGCTTTTACCCCGCGCCCAGCCCCGCCCCGCCCCGCCCCGCCCCACGCCGCGAAGAAATGAAACTCACAGACCCTGTGCTGAGGGCTGCTCCGGGCGCAGAAACGAAACCTAACTCCTGGCCCCGCAGTGGCAGCACGTGGCCTCCCGGGAACTCGCGGGAGAGGCAGGTTCTCGGGCCCGAACCCAGGCCTGCTGAATCAGGAGCTCGTTTCATCAGGCCCGTGTGAGGATCCAGGTGCTCCAGAGGCTCGCTAATGGCCGGGAGTCATCCAAGCCTGCACGTATCCTTGAACCTAGGCATGCCCTCACCCCCCTGCTCCCCCTCGTCGGTTTTGAAAACAGATGCATTGGTAATTGGGGGTCTTCAGTTCCTGCCCAGGGCTCACTGGGATGATCCCAGCACCAGCAGGGATTCCCAGGCATTGTGTGCCAATGGTTGCAGCGCCCCTATTGTCCTGAACTCCGTCCAGCACTCCCACCCCCACCCACCCCCATCAGGCACACCCATATCATCTTCCTCCTCTCCCATTTCTAGGCCTCCCTGGAGTTTGGCTCATCTGGTCTCTCCAGGGTGGAAACGGGTGTGTGGAAGGAAAATAAAATAAAATAGTAATAATAAAATTTAAAATAATAAACATAGGTAATAGTTAACATTTAGTATAAGCTATTTAGAAGTAAGACATAGGCTAAAATTTTAAGCAGCCTCTCCCAGCACTGCTAACAAGTTGCAGATGCAAGCTTATCTCGAAAGCTTATCACCTGCCTTGGGACTCCAGCCTTATCCAGCTTGGAGGATGACTAGTCAAGATAACTAAATCGCCAATTTCCTCAGAATTGTCACGGGTTAAGTAATTTACTGTCTTTGTCTGAAACCTGTATCCTACCTTGTTTTTCCTGTCTCAAACGACAAATAAGCAAGCTGCTTTCTTTGTTGGGGTCGGCAGTCATTTGGAGCATGAGCCTGCTGTCAGTCCGGGTGCCCAAATTAAAAGTTCTCTTTTGGTCTCCAAGGGTCTCTTTGTCTTCCTTGGATAGAATTTTACTGCAACAAGTGGAAGGGGTTGGGGAAGGCTGAGTCAAGCAGACCCATGGGTGGCCCTCCCTTTGGGAGCTCCCATTCCCGGCTAACTGGCTGTTGAGTGGGAGATGGCATTTCCCTTTGGGAGCAGTTGGCACCCCACTTCCATTCTTCTTTGCTCAGCTCAGAGTCCCTTACAAGCCCCGCTAAAGACTTCCATGATGAGGAAGGGTCACCCCCAACCAACCCCAAGGCCCAGAACCTGCCCCAGCTTTAGGTCCTGGGGTCAGGGGCAACCTGGATGGAATCAAATTCAATACTGCTGCACCTACAAGAGGGGGAGGAGCCCCCCCAGCCCGCTCCCTGTGCTATTTTGCTTTGCAGGATCCACTCCTAGGGCTGGGCAACCCCATCCAAGTGGTTCTTCATCCAAGGGGTTCATCCAAGGGAAACACAAGTTCTCCCAGGAATCAGCAATGACCTCACCTCAACACACACACACACACTCATCCTCTCTGGCCTGTTATTTTCTGGTCAAGAACCCAGGCAACAGCACATCCTGGGGGGCTGTGAGCAGGCTGGGCTGATGCTTTCTGAAGCAGGAACAGTGCCTTGGGAATGCAGGGTAGGTGTGAGCAGAGCTGGCACTCATGTGAACAAACACTTAGTGATGCTGCTGCTACTTCCAACAGCGGGAAGCTTCCCTAAGGGCCCTTGTTCACAAACAAAATCAGAAAGAGCTGCAGGCAATTGAAAATCAGATAGAGGCACAGCCTCAGCCAGGGCAGGGCGTGGAAGGGCAGTGAGGCACCCTGCCCAGGAAACAGCACACATAGCTCACTCCCAGTTGGTGCAATGCCTTCTTAAGTTTTAACGCCCTAGGCACTTCCCTTGTCCACCCCAGTCCCTCCCTGGCCTTAGATTTTGGTGCTTCATTGCCTCTAATATGCATATGATATGGCAGGGCCCTGGGGAGCACAGGTGATTGTTTTGGGGTGTAATTCAGCAGTCATACAATAATAGCTCATGTCTACTGAGCATGTAGTATGTGTTAGGTGTCAGAGAGAGACAGGACTAGCTGGATTTCCTAGGCCAACTAAGAATCCCTAAGCCTAGTTGGGAAAGTGACCATGTCCACCTTTAAACACGGGGTTTGCAACTTAGTCCACACCCGACCAATCAGGTAGTAAAGAGAGCTCACTAAAATGCGAATTAGGCAAAAACAGGAGGTAAAGAAAGAGCCAATCATCTATTGCCTGAGAGCACAGGGGCAGGGACAGTGATCGGGATATAAACCCAGGCATTTGAGCCGGCAATAGTAACCCCATTTGGGTCCCCTCCCATTTTAAGGGAGCTCTGTTTTCACTCTATTAAATCTTGCAGCTGCAGTCTTTTGGTCGTGTTCGTTACGACTGGAGCTGAGCTTTCACTTGCTGTCCACAACTGCTGTTTGCCACCACTGCAGACCTGCCGCTGACTTCCACCCCTCTGGATCCAGCAGGGTGTCCCCTGTGCTCCTGATCCAGAGAGGCGCCCATTGCTGCTCCCAGTCAGGCTAAAGGCTCGCCATTGTTCCTGCATGGCTAAGTGCCCAGGCTGGTCCTAATCCAGAACACTTACCACATGCCCCAAGATTCCATTCCTTGGAATCTGTGAGGCCAAGAACCCCAGGTCAGAGAACAAGAGGCTTGCCGCCATCTTGGAAGCGGCCCGCCATTATCTTGGGAGCTCTAAAAACAAGGACCACCCGCTAATATCAGCTAGAGGGACTTGTGTGCGATCACTCACCTTAACAGCCACCCTCCCAGAGGAGTAGGATTATCATACCATGTTCTCCATGACAAGACTGAGGCCTAAGGAGCTGGGTTCCATACTGGTAGAGCTATGGTTCCAATCCAGGTGATTATTCTCCAAACCTGTGCTCTTCAGCACCTCCTCGCTATGCTGAAATCAAGAGGCAGCTTGTGTACTTAGGAAGCTCACAACCTCCCACCTAAATTGCAAGGGATGTGCGCTCTACTAAACAAACAGCAGTTACTCTTTTTTTTTTTTTTCTACCAGATAAGTTTCACACTCTTAAACTTTGAGAATGGCCCTCTGTTCTTCCAGGCAACTCCTGATCCAGTCTCAGTCCTCCCTTGCCATCCCTGAACTCAGCACCCAGGTCACACTCAGAGGCTTTGTTGATGCCCGTCCCTCTGCCAGGCTGCCCTCTGTCCGCAGGCTCAGAGGGAAATTTATCTCCCCTGCCTGAAGTAAAGGAGTAAGAGAATGGCTACTCCACAAAGCAACCCTGAAGGCTGCTAGTTGACCATTTTTATGATTATTCTTGATTATATGCTAAGCGAGGGGTGGATTATTCATGCCTCCCTTTTTTGGACCATGTAGGGTAACTTCCTGACATTGTCATGGCATTTGTAAACTGTCAGGACGCTGGTGGGAGTGTAAAAATGAGGACCACCACCGGTCACTCTTGTGGCCATCTTGGTTGTGGTGAGTTTTTGACCAGCTTCTTTATTGCAACCTGTTTTATGAGCAAGGTCTTTATGACCTTTATGACCTTGTGCTGACCTCCTATCTCACCCTGTGACTTAGAATGCCTTACCTGTCTGGGAATGCAGCCCAGTAGGTATCAGCCTCGTTTTACTAGCTCCTATTTAAGATGGAGTTGCTCTGGATGCGCCTCTGACAACAGAGATCTGTTTGGGAAAAAGAATGGCAGGGTTGATGGCTCAGTTCCCAGGCTTGATGTTTCCCTTGGCATAAGGAGTTTGGGGGTCCTGAGATGTTATTTTCTTTGGCACACCTGTCCTCCTCCAGGCCCAGGTGGACTTACATGCCTGACACCACAGGCTCCTGGGCAGGCAGGGCCCAGTGGAGCCTGGCCTTGTGGCACTGGCCTGGCCTCTGCTACGAGGCTGAGGACCGGGTCAACCGGCAGCCCCAGGCCCACGGTGGGTGCCACTGCACTTGGGATCCGGGCACAGCGTGGTTCGGTGCTCCTGGAATGAATGAATGGGGAATCGGAACGCCGGCCCTGGTCCTGCAAAAGCTGGCCTCAGGGTTCTCCACTGGGCTGGCTTCTCCCTGCGCTCTCTGCCCCCGTCGCGAATTTCCTAGACAATTCAGTTTCGGTTTCATTTCTGCTCCCTGGTTTCCAGAAACGAAAAGTCAAATTGTATGACTTCAGGCTTCAGAATCCAGGAGGCGGGGAAGAAGGGGGCGGTGCCACGAGGAGGGGGTGGTGGTGCTCACAAACACCACTGGCACCTCCCCCAGCTTGGATCCTGTTCTGCTGGGCTGGGGAGTGGGGCGGTCGCGGAACGGTGGAGCATCCCATAACCGGCCAACCTGCCCATCCTCCTGGCTGCATTGCCTGCAAGTCTGTCCGCCTGCCAGCGCCTCCGCCCCCGCCCCCACCCCTGCCCGCTTTGTCCTGCCTGGGCGCGAGTACAGGGACTGGTTTTCTTTGCCTCGTTTCGTTTCCTCTTCTGTGCGTGTGGTATAGACCCATGCTTCTCAAAGGGTGCTTCCTGGAACAGCAGCATTGGCTTCACCTGGGAAATTATTAGAAATGAAGGGTCCGGGGCCATCCGAAGACCCCTGCATTAGCACCCGTATTTTAAGGGCCTTCCTCAGGTGATCCCTTGGCAACTGGGCATGAGAGCGATGGCGTCTGGCGTGGTTGCTCTTGGCCCTCAAGGTCAAGGCGGGACTTTTCCTTCATGTCTGCCTGGGGCCCACCAGAGAGCCCTGCCCGGAGGAACAGAGGCTGAAATCCTTTTATGCTGGTGAGCTTTAGAGAGTCGAGCTGGGGGCTGCAGGACCTGGGTTCAGGCACTGTGTACAGGTGGCCCAGCTACTGAAGGAAAGCAAAATATTTTACCCTAAAATCTTTGTTTTAATTTTTTTTTTTTTTTTTTTAAATGGAGTCTCACTCTGTCATCTAGGCTGGAGTGCAGTGGGGGTGATCTCAGCTCACTGCAACCTTTACGTCCTGGGTT